TCTTTCGATTATTGTGAATTGACCATAATGCCCTTCGTCTTATTTTTCAGAATATAACTTTATATTTGTTTCCTATTTACTCCACGAAAATATTTAATGCACAATGAATATATTTGGTATACAATCCTCTATATACGGAATGTGTATGCAATCATTTGCATCAAATCCTATGCCTCATATGTGATTTCGGCAAAAAAAAAAATAATAATAATAATAAAAACAAACATCAACATCAACACCTTTATACATTGCAAATATGATTAATAAGTATATTTTTACTTTAGAAACAATTCATACGTATCACCAAATAAAGAAAAACTATAATTCATAAACAGTAATGGCGAGATTTTCCCATTTTACTTTCAAGCTTTATACCCTATTCCGGAGTTCAAGTTAACAAGAGAACATAATTTAATCTCATATAAAACACATTATCGAGGTTCTTAGTTATTAGTTGAATCTTCTTGAACATATCATTTGAATCACCAATATTTGTACCCGACAAAATGTATGATTGGTATTTCAACGGATAACCAGTCATATACACAAATGATGTAAATTAACGTAATTTCTTTATATCGTCCAAACATAAAGTCTTCCTAATGTTATTTTAAGTAGCTTCACCAACTATTAATGGAGAAAATACCTAAAACAAAAATTTCTTAATAATAATTATAAATGTTTTATATATTTTTTACATGTGGTTTCCACGGGTTATAACCTAGTATATATATATATATATATATATATATATATATATATATATATATATATATATATATATATATATCCTGTTATAGCCGTTGCTTTGCACCCAACTCTAAATCTGGCAGGGCTAAAACATTACTTTACAACATTTCTTACCATTTCGATTTATTAGACAAAGACCAAGATTTCATATCAAAAGAAATATCTAAATTTGACAATGTTTAATTTAACAACCATTCATGACATGATACAACAAAAGTATCCGAATCAACTTCCATGATAATAGTCAAACAATTCAACTATTTAATACTCTAAGAAATGAAAATATCAAAACTAACATCCCTAGTAGTGAGCTTGAAAGGTACATTAGTAGCGAGCTTGAAAGGTACATTGGATCCGATTTTTGCAACATATAAATATACAAGAGTTTGAAAGTTTGGATAATTTGGCTTGGTGGAAAGAAAATGAATCCTAATTTTCAATTCTAGCCGCTCGTGATCTATGAACAGGCCAAGCTTTGACGGTAACTTTGGAATCATCTTTTCCTTGAAATTTTTTCTAGCTTCTTGCTAGTGATTTTTTATATAAATCAACCATTCAAAAAAAATTAAACTCATCCCTTTGTCGGTGGAAATTTGCAATTGCTTGAAAGACTTCTTGGACAACGTGAAATGGATACAAAATGTTTCACCACTTGAAACGAAACTGAGGGTGAACAAGAAATACACGAATAAGGAATAACAATGAGATTATCGGTACCACTTACCTTAAAAGAACATGCTTACAAAGCGGAAATACGCAACATGGTTGAGGAGGACTAAATCCAAACAACAAACGGTTAATAAACGTTTGCCACGAATGATCAAATCGACAACGATGATGCATAATTTCGATAAAAAGCATTTAATGTTTTTATGTTTCATGATGTACTTTCCTGTTTTTATGTATTTTCCAGCAGAAAAAAAAATTCAAATAAAAACTATAAAAAATTGATTTGATTTTTTTTGTTCTATCCAATGTTTTAAAAACCGGTTTTTTAGTTGAACCGGTGTGGTGACCGGTTCCCGGTTCGACCGCCGGGTCAACCGGTTTTTATAATTTTCATTTTTTTTCTATTTTACTAAACAGGCATACATATATAAAGACGTTTAAAAGTTCAAACATTAAAAATATACATAAAAATAAGTTGTAGATCAATCCATATACATTAAAATAACATATAACCATAAGTTTAGTGTTTTACATCAATTCATATACGTCAAAAAGAAAATTAAATATAATACCGAAACAAAATATAGTTTTAAGATGAATACAAACACATCAAAAAACTTTATAACATTTACCATATGTTTTTATTTAGAGAAACTAAATAGATTTGAAAAATGTCACCGAAGTTTATTATGCAAATGGTTCTTTTTCATGTTTTTTTATCCGGTTTAACCGGTTCAACTGGTTTATTTTGACCGGTTCAACCGGGTTTTTTTAAAAACCGGCCGGTTCAATCCGGTTCAAAAATCGACGTAAAACGGTGATTGTTGAACCGTTCCCTTGCCCGATTCCCGGTACAACCGGCCGGTTCAAACCGATTTTTTAATTTTTTTTTTCCAAACCGGTTTCAAACCGATTTGTATAGGGCTGGGTAATTTTTGGTTTGAACCGGTTTCAATCTAATTCGATTTTAGTCCGGTTAAAAAAAAGCGGTTTGTTTTGACTTTCTCTCCATTACACTTTACAAATTACTACTTTAAGAAAGTGGGGTTTCAATGATTCTGTCTCGATATAAAAATGTGAATTCAGTGCGAATTATTGTACATAAAAATCAAGATGGGCCATCTAACCTTAATATTTTATTGCTAATAAATGATATATACCCAGATATTTGTAATGTTCTCAACTATTTTACTTCAACAACCATGTTAATGTTTTATACTTTTATCGATAACTTTCCTATCTTATTCATGATATTCAATTGATATTCAATGAAAATCAAAGAAAGCGTCGTGAGTTAAGTAAAAACCACTGACACAGTGAACAAAATTTCTCCTTGTGCTTTAAAATATTATATTGTACAACTCTATTAAGCACAAATTGTTGTGTACGGATAAAAATTGTTGTGTACGAATCACTTCCCTTTGGTTTAGTATTATTTAACTTATAACTCGTTGTTTTTATTACCTCTAAAGATTTGATTTATACCTGTTGTATATATATTCTAGTAAAAGATATTATCTTGATATTTGAAGAAAATAATGGTTATTTAGAAAGTAAAGTTGGGTCATCTGGAAAGCAAATCAATTTGTATTGATGGGCCCTGTCATTGTAGTTGTAGTGTAAAATAATAATAATAATAATAAATGAATAAGTAAATAAATAAATAATTAAAAAATTAAAAAATACTTGTTAAATCTAGAATTTTTTGCTTTATCCTTATTTTCTGGAAGTTAAAATTCAATTAACATTTTTTTAAGTGTTCAATTTCTTTCTAAATTGAATGTATATTAAGAGTCTATATTTTTCGTCTTTGTTAGTACTAGATGTATGTCTGCGCAAAGCGACAACGACAATAAATTTTATGGTGAATAGTTTCTTATGGGTAAATAATTATTAAATTTTATTATTAGTTATTAAGTAATAAAAAATACCACTCTAAATAAAATATTTGTTTTTAGATCTTATATTTATATTTTTTATTTATAATATTGATGTAAATTAATTAATAACGATGTCTAATTTAAGAAATATAAACTAATTTATATACATGACTTTCAATATTTTTAAATTGTCATTTTGATACAAATTGAATTTATTAATAACATTTCAAATTAACGTCTTCACATTTTTTACAAGTATTAATAATTTATTTATGTATAATTGATTTGTACAAAAAGTTTTGTAATTTATACCTTTTAAAATTCAAGATATGATAGAATATGTTTTATAATATAATATAGATATAGATATAAATATAAATATGTTTGTTATTTTTATACAAAAGTATTATAATTTTTTTTTCTTAAAATTAAAGTATATCGACTAAAATAAATAAGAAAAAATATAGTCCCAAAGTCTAACCTAAGATACATTATTATTGCATTTAACTTTTTCTTTAATTACTTCATCCATTATTAAAACATGAAACACCCACATACCTAATTTGGTAATAGTTACGCGAATTATATTGTTTTTTTTTTCTTTTCAAATAAGATCTTGTATTATTTTAATTTTTTATAAAAAACCTTTTGTTTTTTTTTTATTTATTGAAAATACCCTTATATTTGACAAGTTTTTACGGAAAAAACTGTTAAAAAAACAAATAAAAAATATAACGGGCTTTATAAAGGGTTGTGCTATAAGTACCCCCTTATCCAAATTTACCCCCCTTAAAATCAATCAAATCAATTTTTTGACATTTGATTTGACATATTTTTTTACTTTTTTTTTTCTTTTGTTGTTTTTTTTTCCTATTTTGTTTTTTTTGTTATTTTTAATTCTTTTTTAATTATTATTATTATTATTATTATTATTATTATTATCGCACAAAATTTTAACATTCGGACGACATTATAAATTCGAACGGCTATATAAAATCGGTTATTAATATTTTTTTATATTTTAAAATTAATATTATTATTGTTATTATAATTATAAATACGAACGGCTATATAAAATCGGAAACATAGTATAGTGTTCAACTAAAATATTTCAATTCGCATAACGCACCACACAATTGTAATACCGTACCAATTAATATCCGTAATTAATAGGGACAAACTTTGTTTTTGTTCCGATTTTATATAGTCATTCAAATTTATAATGCCTGATTTATAAAATGTTATTCAAAATTTATAATAATAATAATATTAATATTAAAATATAAAAAATATTTAAAAACCGACTTCATATAGCCGTTCGAATTTATAATTTCGTCAAAATGTTAAAATTTTGTGTGAAATTTATAACAATAATAATAATAATAATAATAATAATAAATTAAAAAAGAATTAAAAACAACAAAAAAATAAAATAGGAAAAAAAAAAAAAGACAAAAAGTCAAATCTGGGCTGGAATTGGAAAAAAAGAGGGTACTTTTAGAAAAAATCTTTATAAATAATAATAAAAAATGATGTTTATATTAACTATTAATATATTAAAGAGAAAATGAAAAAAAATTATATAAAAAGAAATGAAGACCCGGAAACGGGAGGCATGGAATATACATGATTTATTTAATTCTCTTTTTTTTAATATATATTTTTAATAATTTCTATACAAGTTTTTGGTTCCTAGAAGATCTACCAGCACTGGTCGGTCTCCCATCGCCGGCAGGTGTAAAACCCTTGTCTCTTCACGACCGCCGTGTACAATCCTGATTTCCGTCGCACTCCGGTGCTCCATTTCAGATCATACGTAGCTCTCGCTTCCGGATCCGATAACGTGGCATACGCGTTGTGAATTTCGATAAAATCACGATCACCTTGCTGCTTGAAATCGGAAGCATCCGGATGGTAAAGTTTCGCCAAACTCCGGTAAGCTGTCTTTATCTCTGTAGGCGTAGCGTTTCTCTCGACTCGTAATACCTCGTACAGACTCTCCGGTCTACTGAGCTTCAGTTGAGCCACCGGCTTCGAGTCGAGAACGGCGTGCATCGAGGCTTTACAGGTGCGTCCGCCACCTAAAAATACTTTTGAGGTAGATCCGGTGGAATTGGGAGGAGGTAAGCGGAGAGGGATTCCGCCGATAGGTGTTCTTAGGGTTCCGATCATATCAGAATTGAATGAAAATTGAAATTGAATTTAGGGTTTATAGAGATTGTGTGGATGGACGAGGGTGGAGAGTAAAGAGGGTGGGTTATATAAAGACGGAGGTGGGTCCGCGAAGCCGGGAAATTCGTTTCTGTGAGACTGGTTTTGTGTGGGACCCATTGTGCTACTCTTCTGCGGTCATTGGATTTATTTGATTGTTTCTAGAAGATTATTACTACTCCAAACCGTTCAATTGACGGTTATTCGTGAAGAGTCGACATCAGGGCTAATCAAAAAAATAATTAAAATATTGAGTAATTTGTAATTTAAAAGTGTGTAATTTATGTCGAGGCCTAAAATACGCTAAAAAAATAATTTTTTATTAGGTTATATGGTATATCCACCATTAACTACATTCACTAATGTAGTGGATGTGATTCTTTACTACATTTAACCACTAAGTCTTTGGGTATGGAAGGATTCCCACATGTGACGGACCAATGCACGCGTGAACACCGCCCCACAAGCACGTAGTGGTGGTGTGGAGTGGACAACTCTACAGGTTATCACGACCTATGGGCAACAATTCTTCCAAACGATCACAAAATGGTCGTTGTCCATGAGATTATTGATTAATCTCCATGTCAATAAACCATTGGGGTTACTCTCATTATATATATGTAAAATTTACAACAAACGCTTCAAAGAATAAGTAAATACAATAAGAATACAATAAACTATATTAGACTAATATTCCCCCTCAATCGGAAGGTGACGGACCAAGACAAAGCAAATTGTTGTCGAGGAAGACTCTTCGTGAAGATGTCTGCTACCTGAAGTTTGGTTGGAACGAACATAGTGATGAGTTTGTCGGAAGCCACAAGTTCACAAACAAAGTGGCAAGCGATATCAATGTGTTTGGCGCGTTTATGAGCGACCGGATTCTAAGTGAGGAACAATGCACTCAGGGGCGGACCTAGGGGGTCCATGGTGGCACCGGCAACTCCTGACTTTTCCGGCCGCAGTGGAAATTTTTTTGAAAATTTTTGAAAATTTTATTTTTTCTACTACCGTGCAACCCTGCGTCCGCCCCTGAGTGCACTTTGGTTGTCACAAAGAAGAGTAGGCCGATCGGATGGCAAAGCATGCAATTCGCGAAGGAGATGTGTGAGCCACATGAGTTCAACAGCGGTGTTGGCCATGACTCGATATTCAGATTCACAACTGGAGCGAGAAACCGTAGGCTGCTTCTTAGCACTCCAGGATACAAGATTACCCCCCAGGAATATCGAGTACCCATAAGTGGAGCGACGAGTATCAAGGCAACAAGCCCAATCAGCATCAGAATAACCAACAATGGTAGTGGATGATGGGAGCGAGAAAGTGAGACCATAAGTGAGAGTGTCTTTGACATATCGAATTAGCCATTTCATGGCCTGAAAGTGAGCAAGAGTCGGGGCGGCAAGGAATTGACTGACTTGATTGACAGCGTAAGAAATATCCGGTCGTGTAATCGTCAAATATTGAAGTGTGCCAACCAATGAACGATAATGAGTAGGGCCCTCGTAGAGAGGACCACCACTCACAAACTAGGCATTCGTAGCAAGGCGGTGGTCATAGGTTTCGCATCAATGAGACATACACGTGAAACAATATCATTAGCATATTTAGCCTGGTTAAGAAACAGTCTGTTTGGTAGGGGAGACGCCTCAAGCCTAAGGAAATAATTCAACTACCCAAAATCTTTAATGCGGAACTCAGCGTGAAGCTTATCAATAAACGCAGTCATAACGGAGGTGTCGGACCCGGTGAGGATTAGATCATCCACATACACCAATAAGTAAAGAATGCAATGATCACGGCGAAAAATAAAAAGAGATGGATTTGCCCGACTGCAAGAAAAACCATTGGCCACCAAAAAAGAACTCAAGCGATGAAACCAAGCCCAAGGGGCCTGTTTCAGGCCATAGATAGCCTTGTTGAGTTTGCAAACATGATCCGGGAACCGAGGGTCAACAAAATCGGGCGGTTGTTGCATTAAAACCATATCCCAAGTGTGTCGTGTAAAAACGCGTTGTTGACATCAAGTTGTCGTAAGGACCACCCATTAATAATGGCAATAGTGAGGACAACGCAAACCGTTGCAGCTTTGACAACCGGACTGAAAGTGTGAGAGTAGTCAAGACCCGGAACTTGACTAAAACCTCGAGCCACAAACCGAGCCTTATGGTGTTCAATGGAACCATCTGTCCGATATTTAGCGCGGAACAACCAACGGCACCCAACAACATTCAAACAAGAAGAACGTGGTACCAAGGTCTATGTTTGATTAACAACATTCGAACAAGAAGAATGCGGTACCAAGGTTTATGTTTGATTATGATGTAAAGCATGCATTTCAGAGCGCATAGCTTCATGCCACTTAGGATCATGCATGGCATCGATATAGGTGACGGGCTACGGAGTAGTGAGAACATCGGACAAAAGACCACGAGGCGCAACATGCGTGAGATCAACCCGATAGCGAGGTTTAAATATTTCGGCTTTGCCCCGAGTGATCATCGTATGAGACGGAGCAGGGTCGGGAGCCGAAGGAACTGTAACGACCCAATTTTTCAAAAGAAAATTTTCATTTTTGATTAGATAAAACACATTTCCATAAGCCACGAAATCCAAATACAATTGTTTTTAAAACTCATGTCAATTACAATTTTATTTTAAAATGTCAGAGTATCCCATAAAACACCCGAGTGAGAGTGCACGTCGCGCCATCACGTCTTTCCCTTGCCCTTGGGCTCAGATGTACCTGAAACAAATCCACAAACTGTAAGCTAATGCTTAGTGAGATCCCCAGAGCATACCACACACCCAAACCACATAACACATATCATATTAGCTACAACAGCTACGCGTATCACATAAGCCATGCATACAATAAATAGGGATGTCGTGGGCTTGTCCCCAGGGTCTTACTCCAGGATGCCATGGGCTCCCCACATGGTTTTACACCTAAGTGTCATGGGCTCTCCCATGGTCTTTGATAGGAAAGCCATGGGCTCTCCATATGGTCTTACATCCAAGTGTCATGGGCTCTCCCATGGTCTTCCATACAACATACCACATATACCACTAGCATACTTCCTAGCTCATACCAACTGATCGGTCTATATTTATAACACAATAAATTGTACTAAATATGTTGAATTGATGTATAATTGTCCAAGAATGGCACTACTTTGATAAAATGTTGAACATTATGTGCAGGCAACTACTTAGTGCTAAAGTAGGCGGAACCCGCAAGAAAAATGAGCAAAAGGAAGCTAACAAGCATGGGAGATGAATTGGTAAAGGAATGAAGAAAAATGGTGCTGAGAAATTTGACCACTCTTCAATGTTTTGATCATATCTCAAGATCTAGATCTCCGATTGACATTAATGATGAAGTTCTGGAAACTAGACAAAATTTCCTACAACTTTCATGTTTTGCGTTTTTACTGATTCTACCGTTTTCATCACCAAAAAAGGGCAACAATGATGAGGGACGTCCTAGAACGCGTCTAAGACGCCCCCTAGGACGCCTAACGTTTTAGGCCGTTTTCAAGTGCAAATCAAGGACGAAAGAAAGCCTGTAAAATGCCATGAAGGACGCCCAGACGTCCTATATGACGTCAAAGACGCCCGCTACGACGTCGACGCGGAAAACAACTTCGAAAATCAGTTTTTCAGCACCTATTTAAAGGAGATTTAACCCTAATCGAAATGGGACTTCTCCCCTGCGATTTTACACAGTTTTGGAGGGTTCCAAACACATTCAAACCTTCTCCAAACGCGTTTATGATCATCAATTTTCGAATCCGAGGCTACAAATCACCAAGTTCATCATCATTCAACAACTGAAGTCGTTCAACCGGTGGATCTTCATCAAACTCCATATTTGGTTACTTCTTCTCCAAGGTTTCATCGTTCCATGATTGATTGATCATTAGATTTTATTAGTTTTATGATTTCAAGTTGGTTTATGAATTTTATTATGAATTACATTGTTTTTATTCAAGTTTTGTGTTTTGTGAATTCTATGGAAGGCTAAACCACCTAGGTTACTTCCGGGAATGTTTAGGATGATTTGATGAACGTGTTTTGATTATTACTTCTAGTCCAATCAACTTTGGTTATTATATGTTCTTAAATTTATGATTTCTATTATTGATAATTGAAGTTGAGTTTTATTCATGTGTTTAATTTTACAATTAAGATAGTTTATTGTCAATTCACTAATCGTGTCTAATTCATATAGCTTAGGAACTAAGACGATCGGTTGAATCAACATATACTATTCCAAAATTGTGATTTTAAATGCTAAACATTGTAATTGGTAATCATAAGACATAATATTGCCAATCCACTCATTGTTCCTAATCCATTTAGAGATAGAGAGTAAAACAATTAGTAGGGATAACATATTGTGTGCCCAAAGTTATTTATTGCATGTTAATTGACCTTAGTTATGTTTTCATAATTAATTTGGAATTTAAGGGAAGATAAACACGTGAGTCTTAATCATCTGACACTAAACCTGAAGTAACCTTGTTTTTCTCATTGGTAATCGTTTGCAATATAAAGTTTCTAGTTTTTTTTTATTTAAATATTTTTTCGTGATAATTGCAAGTATTAGTTCTTTTTCATTGACTACTACAACACAAAGTTTGACCACAAACTCCTCATGGATTCGACCCGACTTACCCTGTCCACTTAGGTTAGTTAGTTTATTTTTGATTGAGACAACGACCTCGATCAAAATTTGGTGCCGTTGTCGGGGAGATTGTGCGCTTAAACTATTGTGTTGAAGTAGTCATTACATTTTTTTTTACTTTTTTGTTTTGTTTTATTTTTAGTTCAGAATCTTCACTCTTTTTTTATATAGGGACGGTGGTGAGTGAAAGAATATACTTACATAAATCAAGACATGTGGTGGGAGAGAGAAAATTCGGACCAATATCAATATTATAATGATCTCTACTATG